TTTAAAACAGAAAGAAAAGTCACTTACAAAATGAGATCAGATGAACATGAATAAATCTGACCAGAATGTGTCTGTGTACAAAACAAGTGACTGAATCTTCCTCAGAAGAGACAAAAACAGCAGCTCACGTCAGTGTCTGACTTATATTACAATCACGTCCAGAAGCTTTTGGTGAAATGAACTTATTAACCTGTTGCTTGACCTGTTCATATTTCAGGAGAGAACTAGTTTCCAAAGTCAGACGTCGCTTATGATTTTCAAGGCTGTAGAGTTTAGTAGAGACATCAACCCTTTTTTAAATAAAGCATATCATCAATACCTGAGATTAAAGCCCGTCCCTAAAAGATAATATCCCCTGCACGGTGAAAAACAGCCCCTTTAAAGCTTTACGAACAGACAGCAACCGTTTTCATTTAACACCTGGGATAGTTTATTGGTACACATACTATAAAACAGTATTAAAGTAGCAGGATAACAACAGTATTTTTTGAGTATTTTCATTGCTAGAAGTTTGACAAATACGATATATATATATATATATATATTTATAAATACAAAAGCACTCACAGCATGATCCATTGAGAAGCTACAGAAAGCTCAGGAGACAAACGAATAGAAACGGATGAAATTCAGAGCGCGACAGTTCTGCAAAAATAATCTGCTTTTCCCACAAACTATAATATTAGAGCAAAGGTCTACGACAGAAAACATTCAGCTAGTGCAAAAAGCTTCCAAGAAACCAAACGTAGTCTTAAACTACTCACTATATTTATATATGTATCTTTATATAAATAATCCCTTATTTTGGCATTTATCATGTAACAATTTAAACGTCCTACCTGACATATAGTGGCACATTAGTAAGCGATGGAGATTTAAAGCACTTTGCTTTCACACGAGATATGTGGCCAAACACTTGAAAACATGATGCAAAGAAAAAGAAAAAAGGAAAGAGTATAAAACGACCGATGGAAAACTCACAACAACCAACACACAAATAAAACCGCAAACAATGAGTGCTTCTGTCTTGTTCTCCAGAACAAATCTCTAAACATCCTCAAATCCAGACACATTTACTGGAGACGCACAGCGAAGACATGAAGTCTTGTTTTCTGAGAAACTGAACAAAATGAAGTGAGTTTATGATTAAAACAAGAACAAATATCTGCGGATGGGCTCAGAATAATAAAGTTAATTCAAAGGGAAGTTTTTCTGACCATTGGCATATTTCTTTCTTGTTTTAAGCATAAACGCACTTCATTCTGATACATTTTTCAGAAAACATGAGTTAATATCTTGTCATCTTGATTTGTGAGCACAAAACCAGTCATAAGGGTCAATTATTTTAAATTGAGATGTATACATCATCTGAAAACTGAATAAATAATCTTTCCATTGATGTATGGTTTGTTAGGATAGGACAATATTTGGCTGAGATAAAACTATTTGAAAATCTGGAATCTGAGGGTGCAAAAAAATCTAAATATTGAGAAAATCATCTTTAAAGTTGTCCAAATGAAGTTCTTAGCAATGCATATTACTAATCAAAAATTAAGTTGTGATATATTTACGGTAGGAAATTTACAAAATATCTTCATGAAACATGATCTTTACTTAATATCCTAATGATTTTTGGCATCAAAGAAAAATGTATAATTTTGACCCATACAATGTATTGTTGGCTATTGCTACAAATATACCCCAGCGACTTAAGACTGATTTTGTGCTCCAGGGACACATTTATGTTTTGTGGTTTAGTTATTTTTACTGGTTAACAAGCCATAAGTACTAAGAACATTTTTTTTTTTTGCAGTGTACAATCACCTCTCTTTAAAACAAGTACCGATACATTACACCGGAAAATAAAATAACAAACACAAGTGAAACCAAAGTTCAGTGTCGTGTCGGAGAAGAGCAGATGGTTGCGCTCCTCCGAATCCGTGCGAGGAGCCGGCGATTCTCAGGATAGCACCTCCATCATCTCCATCTCAAAGCCTGATTAAAACCGCAGAAATAACACGACGTGTGAGTCTGATCTTAAAAAACGGAGAGGAACAGATGATAAAAGCTCGGGACACTCGTGTGATCTGGTTTCCAGACGCGTCTACATTCGTAGTGTACAGAGGAAAGCTAGAGCTCTGCTACATCGGCAAAGATCCTCTGAATCCTATCACATATAAAGTGCTCAGGAACGGTGCAAAGCGCATCGTTCGCCTGACTCTGCTACGGTTAACTAGCTCAGTTAAGATACGAGCTGAAAAGAACACTTCTGAGTTGTCGGCCCATAATGGCTGCAGCGCTGCTGATGAAGATGATGATGATGGTGGTGTATAAAAACATGTCCTCAGGAGCTGGTCTGAGCGGCGTGGGCGGAGCTACGGTAAGAGTCGGATTGGCTGGACGCCGCTGCAGAGGAGGAGTTAACCGCGGTGGGCGGGACTAGAGCTGAGGTAGGGGCGGGGTTTACAGACTGCAGGCTGCAGAGAGTCGGGATGAAGCACAGATGAAGACGGAGCCCGACGGGACGGAGCTCGCTCGTGTGGAGGTTGGTGAGGGTCCGCTCTCGTCTCAGTTGACGGGTGGAGCGCTTACACCACCGTGGCTGGTCTGCGGTCCATGTCCTCCTCCAGCTTCACCATCTTCTGCATGTCTTTGGCCTGGAGAATCACAGCAGATATTTACATTGCGTTCATTCATCCGGATCTAATGTTTAGAGTAATGGGAACAATGATTTAAAATGCTGTTCATACTGACAACTAATTGTTAAGAGGTATATTCAGTTACTAAAATAAACTGATTTGCTTTTTTTGTGAAACTTTGTAATGTGTAAAAAATGTCAGGTTGAAAAAAAAAAGTAGTTTGGCATATTGTAGTGCTGACGATAAACCGTACTGTAATCATGATTTGTGCTTCTCTGGGTTTATTAAGCATAACCGTCGGTGATATTTGAACGCTCGTTATTTATCCTGGAAACATCTCATTTTAATTGCTCTTGCAGTGGTAATGAGCCTCCACAAGCTTTCATGGTTAGGGTTGCCAGATGTCAAGAGTTTAAATCTTAAATCGATACATTTTATTCCCAACCTGGCCACCATACACACACACACACACACACACACACACACACACACTCTCTACATTATGAGCGCTGATGAGCTGCAAACATGTTAGCGCTGGAGTTTAGCGATTTCCGTCGAGATATTCTGCTCAGATAATAGTGTCACAGCCAGTCTGTCCTCATTGTGCTTTGTTTGTTGCGACTAAATCTGAGCAAACCGTGCAGTTGACGTTTGCTTGATTTGTGCTTATGTGAGAGTGCAATAATTCTGACGAAACAATTAAAATGACAATAAATGTGATAATATTTTTGAGCAAAATAACTGTGATTAATAGATTAATTATCGTGCAGCCACAGCATATTTTCTTTATGCAGCCAATTTATAAAAAGAAGCAGACAAAAATATTTGTAAAACTTCTGTCTCTCAAATCAACTGTGACGGAAGGAAGGAGGCATGTATGCGTCACATGACAGAAAACCCACCGCCAACTGAATCATTTGATGACTCACTGAATCAATCTAATGATTCATTCACTCTCGGAACCGTTTGGAGTGGCTGTTACTTTCATCATGTTCAACTTCAAACTAAATCAGTGTAATTACTGAAAACGAATCTCTCTCTCTACATATATATTTACTGTATACAGAGTCTCGTCTACGAGAGCAGCATGAGCTTGAGACTGGTCTATGATGATTGGACGAGCTCTCAACTGGGCGGGACTTTACAACAAACGGCCAATGACTGAACACGTGATGTACGTGATTGACAGCACTCAGCACGTCAAAGTGGATGTGTTATAGAAGCTCTTGTGTCAATCAGACAGAAAGGAGACTGATGGAGAAAACTGAAGAAAGAGGAGAGCAATGCGTGAGCCTACCTTGAGTCTGACTGTTTGCATGATGTGATTTCAAAAGCTGTTCAAAGAAAAGGCAAATCATATTTAAGGAATGGCTTCAGACGTCTCATGTACAGAACATGAGTAATGAGGACAAAACACAAATCAAATGAAATGGAGAGGGCAGCCGTCTGTGAGCGTGAACAACAGCCGGCCTGAGCTTTACCTGCTCGTTGAACTTCTCGAGTTTGTCCAGCTGCTCGCGCTGAGACTTCTGCAGCTGCTCCAGCTCCTTCGCCTGCTTCATGGCCAGCTGAGGAAGAACAACATCATCATCATCATCTTCAACCTCAGAACTACTACATTCATTTAACAGACGCTTTCATCTAATGAGGAACGTCACATGCAGTTTACACACAGAGAATCACCATAATTCTGCAACATTAATACTGTTATTTTCCTGTTTATCTCTGTGAAGCTGCTTCGACCCAATCTGTATTGTATAAAGCGATATAGAAATTAAGGTGACTTGACAACTGCATCACTTTAGTCTCAGAAACACTGCAAAAATCCTAATCTCCAGAAACAGGATTCAGTATCACGAGAGATCAGACCTTTTCATTCATTTTACACAAATTTAATAGAAATAACTTGTACTTTACCCTCTAATCAAAACCTCAGTATTTCTGTCTTGTTTTCCAGCGCAAATCTCTAAAGATCCTCAAATCAAGACACATTTACTGGAGACGCACAATGAACACATGAGAAATAGATCAAAATCAGTTTATGGTTTTCAAAGAAAACAATGTCTTCGTTGTGCGTCTCCAGTAAATATGTCTTGATTTGAAGATCTTTAGACATTTGCACTGGAAAACAAGACAGAAATACTGAGGAACAGGTTCATTTTTGCAGTGCATGAAACATTACTGCCATGACTTCATGAATTTCAGACTTTCTGCTCTGATTGAAGAAATTTTTAGGCCTTAATTTGTTGAAGGGTGATTAAGACTCGCAGAAAGCTTGTCTTTTGATTTTGGGATTGTGTTTTCTCATTCGATTAATCATACAGCTGTGACAAATGCAGTTATCCTGCATCAACCTCTCAAACCAAAGCCATTCTTCACAGAACGGAGCCATAAGCATAAGCTAACACTGAAGACCATCAACCAACCCTTTTTCTCTCCTCCAGGAACTTTTTGGTGTTGCTGCTGTTCAGCTCCCGAACTCTCCTGCAACACAAACACAAACCTGTTAAACTGTGACAAACAATGATTTATTAATCACAGCGCTCCATCCGTGTGTCGTGTCGCACCTCTCGCGCTCCGCCTTGTTTTTGATGCTCTTGTCCTGGCTGATGGCTTTGCTGTTCTCCATCGACGTCTTCGCCTGATTGCCCTTCATCTCTTTGCTTTGCCTGTCGATCGATCACAATACAGACATGCTCAAAACAGTCCAGAGAATCAGTGACGGTTATGAAACATCATCTCATGCTCGAGGGTCACGGCTCTTTCTCATGGAGATCCGGCTGCAGAACAAACAGGTTCACACGAGGGGAATTATCAGTGTAATTAATAAAGACTCTTGAGCTGAATAGACGGGCCGCTCTTCTACTGAACTTACAGAGACTCATGCAACATTAATGCCTGTTAATTATGGCAGCCGGCCTCGTATCTCTATCCTAATAAGACACCACATCAGCATTATAAAGAGGAGAACACTGGCCCAGATGAATATACACGAGCATGAGTGTCGTGTGTTAATCAGATTCAGCAGTTATTAGCATACTACACTCTACTGTAGTACACACTACACTCACTGCTCTCATCATGAACATACAATACAAACAAATCCATTCAGGTGTATATGTATATCACCTGAAAGTAAATAACACACACACACACACACACATATGTAAATAATTGTAAAATTTCCTATTATTTCCATGAATCTCCATGGATTTCCAGTAAACTAACTAATCCAAATATTACAATATTATCTGAGACATTCAGCTTCCTCAAGGCCTCATATTTGATATAACCAAATATCCATGTTTTGATGCATATACATCAGCTGGATTTGTAATTGAGGATTGAGAAAGTGAGTCACGTGACGTTTGGCCAAACGTGGTGTCCGATACTTGGAATTTGAGCAGTAGGCAGACATTTTTGCTGCGGTGCCCTGGTGCTCAAGGGTCTCACCTCAGTTGGGTGGAAAAGAGCACTGTACATCATGGTAGTGATGATAGTGATGACAGTAACTGTAGTGAGTATAGTGATAATAGTGATGGTAGTGATGATAATGATGATTGTGCTGGTAGTGATGGTAGTGATGACAGTGATTGTAGTGATGATAGTGATTAGAGATGGTAGTGAAGGTAATGATGATAGTGATGTAATGATGGTAATGATTATAGTGATGATAGTGATGTAATGATGGTAGTGATGACAGTGTTGGCAATGATGAAAGTGATGGTAATGATTATAGTGATGATAGTGTTGGTAGTGATGGTAATGATGACAGTGCTGGTAATGATTATAGTGATGATAGTGTTGGTAGTGATGGTAATGATGACAGTGCTGGTAATGATTATAGTGATGATAGTGATGGCAATGATGGTAATGATGACAGTGTTGGTAATGATTATAGTGATGATAGTGTTGGTAGTGATGGTAATGATGACAGTGCTGGTAATGATTATAGTGATGATAGTGATGGCAATGATGGTAATGATGACAGTGTTGGTAATGATTATAGTGATGATAGTGTTGGTAGTGATGGTAATGATGACAGTGCTGGTAATGATTATAGTGATGATAGTGATGGCAATGATGGTAGTGATGACAGTGTTGGTAGTGATGGCAATGATGATAGTGATTGGTAGTGATGATAGTGATAATAGTGTTGGTAATGATGATAGTGATGGTAGTGATTAGAGTGATGGTAATGATGGTAGTGATTATAGTGATGACAGCGATTGTAGTGATGACTGATTAGTGATGGTAGTGATGGTGATGATAGTGTTAGTAGTGATGGTAATGATGATAGTATTGGTAGTGATTATAGTGATGGTAACGATGGTAGTGATGACAGTGATTGTAGTGATGATAGTGATTAGTGATGGTAGTGATGATAATGATGATAGTGATTATAGTGATAATAGTGATGTAATCATGGTAGTGATGGTAATGATGATAGTGATGGTAATAATGATAGTGTTGGTGTTGATGTCTTTCTCTTTATTTATTCCTTCTCTGTCTAGCTTGTACTTATTTGAACAATGCCTAAAACTTGGTATTACAAGCACTTCCTGTGTCTGTTTGCCTCTTTAAGAAGAATCGCTTTATGTATTCCCCAATTGTAAGTTGCTTTGGATAAAAGTGTCTGAAAAATGACTAAATGTAAAATGTAATGTAAATGTGATGACAGTGTTGGTAGTGATGGTAATGATGATAGTTATGATAGTGTTGGTAGAGATGGTAATGATGATAGTGATTGGTAGTGATAGTGATTATAGTGATGATAATGATAATGATTATAGTGATAATAGTGATGACAGTCATTGTAGTGATGACTGATTAGTGATGGTAATGATGGTGATAGTTTTAGTAGTGATGGCAATGATGATAGTGATTGGTAGTGATGACAGTGTTGGTAGTGATGGTAATGATGCTAGTGATTATAGTGATAATAGTGATGACAGTGATTGTAGTGATGACTGATTAGTGATGGTAGTGATAGTGATGATAGTGTTAGTAGTGATGGTGATGATGATAGTATTAGTAGTGATGGTAATGATGATAGTGATAATAGTGTTGGTAGTGATTATAGTGATGATAGTGATGACAGTAATTGTAGTGATGACTGATTAGTGATGATAGTGTTAGTAGTGATGGTAATGATGATAGTGATTATAGTGATAATAGTAATGATAGTAATTGTAGTGATGACAGTGTTTAGTGATGGTGATGATAGTGCTAGTAGTGATGGTAATGATGATAGTGATGGTGATGGTAGTGCTAGTAGTGATGGCAATGATGATAGTGATGGTAATGATGATAGTGATTATAATGATAATAGTGATGACAGTGATTGTAGTGATGACTGATTATTGATGGTAGTGATGGTGATGATAGTGTTAGTAGTGATGGTAATGATGATAGTGTTGGTAGCTGAGCATGCAGTGAACGCGTGTGTGTCGGTCGTGTCTCTCACCGCTCGTGGATGAGCTTGAGCTGCAGTGTCTGCTGCTCCTGAACGCTGGCCAGCAGCTTCCTGAGGAGCTCACACTGCTGCGTCACATGGGCGTCCTTCATTTCTTGTTCCTCTGTGCTGTGACAGTTGATCATCTCTGACCACTCTTTAGTGTGCTGCGCCACAATGTCCTTCACCTGAGAGGAAGAAACACCAACACGACTGACACGCGTCACCAAACACAGCCGAACATTTGCTGACAAACTCTATTATGAATAAAAACCATTTAAACACAGACTGCTGGGGTTTCCATCAGAACATCAGCTATCAATCATGAGCTTAGATGTCTTCAGTAAGATCTAAAGCACAGGATCTAGACTGACGCATAACTAGAAATATCTAGAACATTTGATTAATTGCCATTGAAATATAATAAACTTGAAAATTCCATTTTTCATGACTGTGGGAATCTGTCTTATGTAGTCAGACATTTAACCTGACACACACCAGACACGTTTACATGTGATCAAAGCATCCATTAGAGATGGGACTGATGGCTTAATCAATCCTGTAAACACCTCAAACAATCCAGTAGTGTTTGATCTCAATTAAACTGCGACCTTACGCACATGTGCAGGGCCGTGATGTTTATGTTTACGTATGATTTACACCTTATGTATGTTAGTCTTTATTTTCATCTTTCATCTTGAGAACTGGTCAGTGAAGGAGACTACATTTTTATTGTCTTCTACAATATTACTCATCTTTCTTGTTAGATGTCATCTAAAAACAATGACATTCGCAGGAGCTCCAGTGACAATATCGCAGTGGTTTTGCATGCACTGAAGTTTTGTTCAGAATTCAGGTAATGCACTTGAAAACGAATATATGTGAAAGTTTAGGGTTCATATAAACAGAACTTTCAAAATCTGAAATCAGATTATGAAAATGAGTGCATGTAAAAAAACCTACTGTAGCTTATTCTTATACTGATTCCTGCCTAATTGCTGAAGCCAGTCCGATCAGAGCATGTGATTTTGTCATTGTCAGGGTGTAATATGGTCAAATGCTCCACGGGCGAGTAAATAAGACACAAAGCATGATGACTGTCTTCTGTACCTTTTCTTTATGGTCTGTCGTGAGCGTCTCAACCTTAATGGCCGTTTCCTTCTTTAACTCGGAGCAGTTGTTTTCTCTAAAACAGAGAACAATGACAGTCACAATAACATCAGGACCGAATGACTGAGACGACGCAGAAGAGGCAGCATTTCCCATCATGCTTCACTCACCCTCTCTTCTTGATGGCCTTCTCCAGCAGCTTCTCCAGCGAGAACTTCTCCTTGTCATGCTGAGCCACCATTCTGTCCACCTGCGTGCAGTGTGATTTCTGCATGGCGTTGTGTTCCTGCGAGCAGAAGACGCGTTCATCATCTCATCATGCTGGAAACATCTGCATCAGCGTTTGAGCAGAACAGAGACAAGAATCCGTCACTGACCTTAGCGTGTCGTTTCTTTAGCGTGTTCAGTTCCTTCTGCTGCTTCTTCATCAGTTTAATGAAGGTCTAGAGACAAGAGATTTGTGGGATTTCTGAGGTTTATCTTTTCAAAAAGGACACGATGCAATCAGCGAAACTACATGCCAGAAAACAGCAGCAGCGATAACCAAATCCTTCAACACAAAATAAATGCAGAAAGTGAAAGTGAACAAACTGACTGACAATTTTAAATCAGACTTTCTAATGTTTCATGTTAGGGTTGGACGATAAAACGATAATGATCACGATATAATATTATAATATGATATTCATACTGAATTATATTATTAATGTAGACATGTATTAAATGTATATAGTATTTTTTGATTAAGCTATAACATTTGTGCATTTATACTAAATGTATTCAGCTTATTGTTTTT